CTTTTACTTAACATAAAAATATATGTTTTATTATTCAGCATATTATAGGAATATTAACGATATATTCTAACTATACTTCTGAGTTTTTGCTATATTAAGTGAATCTACAAATTATATTTCAAAAAATCCCTAAGAAATTATTTATTTTTTCTTCTTTTGACTCAGTTTTTCCTGAGATGTAATAAAATATACAAAAGAATAAAAATCAATATTCGTTTTTCTTTATACTGAATTGTAGTATATGTGCTTTATGTAAAATTGAGAATGATGAAAATTAAAAGACATATAATTTATTTTCTAATATATATATATGTTATTACGTGTGTTCCATGTTTTTCATAAAGACAATTTATACAGAAATATAAATGAAAAATCGAATATCTCTGAAATGGATATATTTAAAAACTTTTGTCTACTTCATCAAATATTTTGCTTTAATGCATACAACGAAAATGCTTGTGATATTTTGGAAAAAAATTATAGTTCTATTCTTCTATTTATTGCTTCGAATCTATTTTATTATTAAAGATAACAGGAAAAATATGTATTGTACATGCAAATTTCTAATATATTTATTTTTATTAAAACTTTTGCAGTAATTGTGTGTAATGTATTTATAACGTATGCATCTTTACTCCTCATATACAAATTATAATTATATTAATTTGACCGTAATTCATTGTTATATTTGATTTATTAATGTTTTATTGAACTCTAATTTTATTTGCATTCAACCTTTTGAAGGAACATTTATAGACGCTATAAGTTATACATTAATATGTCTTCTTATAGAACATTATCTGTTGAAAAAATATAGATTGTGTTTTTTTTTGCAATTCTTGAATTTAACTAAAATAAAATTTTTACATTATATGTAAGAATTCAAATTTTTACACTATATATTTCATAATACTATTTTGTTAACATAAATTATGTAGTAAACTTTTATACATATATTTACATTATATTGTTATATTACGCAGCATATAACAAAGGATTATTAAAGGAAAGTATCCAATATGTATCTTTCTATATGCTGTAATAATTAGTAATTCATAGGTTTGTGTAGTATTGAACTACAATTCTTGAAAATAACTATAATCAAAATTAATTATATTCTTAAATTTATCATATAATGTTTATTCATATTATACATCGTAACCCCCCCCCTTTTTTATTTATTTTAATATATTATTATTGTGTTGCACTTTTCTGAATTTTAACTTCCATATAAACATACAACTAGTTAAATGACACCTATAAAATGCTAATTATTTAATTATTATATGAAATATGAATTATAAGGTTTCTTATGTAATTTTAATGTGTGATCTTTTATAAATTTGTACGGAAAGATATTTTAACCAATATAAATATTTTGAATATATTTATTTTAAAACAATACAAACATTATAAAATGTAATGTAAAATCATATTAATTAATAGAAAAAATGTACATTAACCTTAATAGTTCTTTTATATTTTTATTCTATATATCTTCTATGGTTCTTATAGAAAATATATATATTAAATGAATGTATAATGTTTTTTAATTTTATAATGTTCTGTGTTATTAAATGTGATGTACAATTTGTTCTTCTTAATATATAGTATGTATATAATAATATAATGAGCTTGTATTTTATGTACATTATTGTTTATTCAATATTTATTTATGATTAAATAATTATAAATAGCTTCACCAAGAATTTTTTACATGTTTAAAAATCTAAACATAATTCATTAATCTACAATGTTAGGTGTAATACAAATATATAGGAAGATAATTCAAAATTATGTCACACGATAAATATAGAAATATGAAATAATAATCGCATGTATATATCTTAAATTATATCAATAATTTTATATATAAATGAAGAAAAGCAAAATTCTTTAGTATTACACTGTAGTAATAAAGAATAATAAAACTATTAATGTATTAATTTAAATGATACTCTATTATAGAACAGATCATGAACAGTAAAATGAATATACATAATTTAATAAAAAAAAAAATGAAAATTAAATTTTATATTAATAATGTATAGCATTATATAATACGTATTTATGTGAACATGCTATGCAGTCAAAAAAGTGTTATGTATACGAAAATGGTATTGTCAGAAAAATATATATGTCTCTATATATAAAAAGATATATGTAATAGACAATATATGCATATACAAAATTCTAATAATTAAGTAACAATGATTAATTTATATTTTAAATATATTATAATAAGATTCATTTTGTATGAGTGTGATGAACTTCCCAATCATTTGCACTATTGTTGCCGTATAACACAAATAATTGAAAAAAACAGTTATTGAATATAAATAATCATTATTAAACATTATGTATTCCATTTAAATATGAGTGAGAAGAATATCATATAGGAACATAATAGAAAATGTTGTTTAATATTGAAGGAGGTTACGAACATTGTTTCTATATATTTCTATTAATTTAAGGAGAAGTAACTATTTTTACCACATATTTTTTAAGCATAATATATTGTTATTCTATTTCCATTATAATATATTTCCAGTATTTTAATGTTTTTTTAAAATTATTTTTTCTATTCATTTTATTCTTTAGCATATGGACATAGTTTTATAACAATCCTAATAATAATTTACAGAGAAATAATTATCTAGCAAATTTGACATATATTGTTCGTAATATATATCATAATAATAATTAAATTTAAAGATATATATATGTGGTTTTTATATAAATATTATAAATTCATATAATGTTGAATATTCTTATAATTCTAGAGGATAATATATTGATGATATATAATTTTTATCAATTGCATATTTTTTATTTAGAAAAATATAAAACTATATCCATTATATATTACATATGTCCTTTTACAAAAACGAAGATGAATTTGGTATACATTTATATATGAAACACTTTTTATATATACGTATTCTTTATAAAATCGGTCAGAAACTATTATAAAGATTCAATATATATTTCATATTTGCTTTCATCTGTCATTATATATTAATTTAGAGTTTAACCTTATTTTTTATTAAACGAAGAATGTTATCATTTGTATATATGTATTTATTTAATATGTTCCTTTTTTTATATTTGTAATTTTATGCATAGGTCATATACTCTCTATTTGATAATCTTGTCTTATTGGAACAGTTTAATGAACACATTTGAGTGTAATACAAGGAAGGATATATATTTAGATCCATATTTTTTAAAAATCCATGTGTTGTTTTCTTAAATTGTCATATTAATTTATAAGATTCTCATTTTCTGTAGTATTAATATATGTACAGTTTTTAATGAAATATATTCCTCATCAATATTAGAAATAAAATAATAAGTTATACATAATTAACGTTAATTAGTACCATTTTATATAATGTAATTCATTAATAAAGATACATTAATTTATTATTATATTTTTATGTTATAACATTCAATTATATCATAACAAAAATAATTCTATACTTTATCAAGAGCACCATTTTTATAGATTCATAACCGTAATCAAATTTATTTTAAAGCAAAATTATCATTGAATATGTTATATATTTAACGAATTAAAACTTAAAAATATAGTAAATGAATACTTTGATGTATGTTTTTTTTTACTAATAAGAATTATATATAGTTTAAACTGCTAATTTCGTTATTTTATTGAAAAGTAACAATTTTTGATTAATAAAAAGTATATAATATTGGAAAGAAAATTTATTATCATAATAATATGTAATGATAATTAATATTTTTATTTCTTAATACTGAATATATTTTTCTATGTGTAATAAAAATTTGTTTAATAAATATTATTTTTTACATTGTATAATCAAATATAGGTAACAATTTTTTTTTTGTTCATGTCGCTTTTTATTCATATAATAAAATGTACATTCCATGTGTTATTACAGTACGAACACAAAATGATTTGTATGACAAAAAATGGGTGAATAATTTTCATATATACTATGCTCATAAATAAAACATTAGTCAAATATTATAAGAACTGTTTAATTCTTAAAATTACTGACTTAAAATATTATATATATTAATTATATTATAAAACCCCAATTTTCATGTATTTATTGTTTTCATTTCCATAATAACTGATAATAATTCAGAAATGAAAGTAATTAAATATATGAAATATATTATACGAATACCAATTGCTTAAATAACTTATCTTTCATGTTTACGCATCACTTTAATATATGTGTTTTGTTGAAAGTGTCTAAACTTATAATAAATTTGTTTTTGCATCATAAGTATAAGCTTCTCATATAAGAATTGTATAAAAAAATATAAATATAATTTTTTTAGATGATCATATATTATTGTAATATAAAAGTATACGATGTATTATATATTATTACATACATTATAACATTTAATAAATAGTATTGATACATATTTTACGGGAATAATAATAACGCACAATAATAAGCTTATATCATTTATTACATAAGAAAAATAAATTAAGTACAAAATTATGATTGTATGTTCCAATATTTTATATAGCTTTGATTGAATCATACATATAACTATAAAAAATTGCAAATGGGAAATAATAAAAATAATTGAATATATACTTATATTAATAGAATATAAAAATATAACATTATTTTTTTTTGTGTTTATATAATATGTAAAATTATATAAATTTTATATTCTAGAATAATGTTATAATCAGTCTACCTATTTAGTTTTTTTATTTAATTATAATTATTTTGAATAATATTTTCATTTTGTCCTTTTTATACTTAAAAAATATGTCATATGTTACAGTTATTACTATTTTTTTTCTTATGTCTAAAATTTAATTGTCAAGGTGTAAGATCATTTTTTAGATCAATTCGATAATTTAAAAAAAACGAAAAAATTGTTCTACTTTGGACTTTGCGTCAACATTTTAAAGAGAACTATAGATATTTACATGCATTTCATTGTTTTATCCAGATATTGTGTAAAAAAATATAATAATATAAAGGATGACTAATGTTATTGTACAACATAACATAATATAAATTACATATTATCGGATTTATATATATAATTTTTTAATTAAGCTAATAAAAAAATTCTTAGTAATTTATAATTTTTGTCAAACAGAAAACTTTTTTTTCCGTTGAAGTATAAATTTGCAGGGGTATTTCATGAACTGGAAAAAATTATGAATAATTCCCATTCAAGTGAAAAAAGTCCCAATGAAGATAATTTTAAAGAAATTAAAGAAAATACATTTAAAGAATTTAGTAATATTGAATCCATATGCAAAAAATTTGATTATTATACAACTAGTATACAGGGAAATCATTCATCTAGCATGTTAAACGAATCAAGTTGCATATATTTGTATTATTGGCTATATTATTATAAGAATGAGAAAAGGAATATTGAGAACGTTAAAAAACTTTACAAGGCATTGATCAAGGCTGATTCTACAAGCCATCAAAATTTATGCCCAAGAAGTGGTTACACGAAAATTTCGGATGATGAAATGTCAAAGCTCAAAGATCTGCATGACATGTACACTTATCTAAATAATATACAGAATAATGGTACTTCTCAATGTAATGATAAATGCAGTTGTGCCAAAAAATGTGCTGATCTGTATATGAAATACAAGAACGCATGTGAATCCAATAATAACTCTGGTTTCTGTAATGAGTTAAAAAATGTTACGGATAAATATAATGCACTAAGTACAACTAAATGTTCTGGACAATTAACATATATAATGTTACCTTTGTTCAAAAGAAATCATACAAGTGTTCGTATTGCAATTACAATTTTTGTGATCTTATTAATATCAATAACTTTATTAGTTGTGCATAAAGTAATTATTATATTATATATACCTATTTGTTGTACAATATAAATTTTTTATATTATTATAAAAAAAATTTTAATATAATATTTATTTAAAATATTATTTTTATTATTAACTAGTTTACCCCATATATTTCATGCTTTCAAGGAACATTAAGAAGAAAACGAAATAAGTGGAATAATATAGATGAAGATTATGACATATTCCAATCGTACAATAATGAGAGCAATTCTACCATAAAGAGTAGACACCATATATTATATCTTAAAGACTAATTCTACCATTATGTACATTAAACATTGCAATTATTTAATTAAGCCAATATAAATATTATTAAGAAACTAATATGCGAAAATCATCTTATAATGAATTCATATATATATATAGTAGTAATTATAATAAAAAGCATATATTAATTTTTCAATATAGACATGGAAATATTCAAAATAAATATTCTATTGTTATATAAAATGTATCTCTGTCTTCAATAAAATTTGGATAAAGACAAAATAAGCAAATGCTATATATATAACATTTTAATATGCAATAATTTTCATGTAACCTCCAAGTTATAAAAGACTATATTATGTATAAAAAAATAAGGAAAATATTTATTTACATATTATTGCAGGTGAAAATTGATAATTGCGATATTAATTGAATATATTATATTAATTTATTTTATATATATATAATGCTTTTTTGTAAAATAATAATATTGATACGATTATTCGTATTTATTATGTATGCATATATGTAATTATTTTTGAATTTCTTATTTCTTTTACATCTTTTTCTATATATGTTTTAATATTATTAATCCTATATAACAACATATTTATTATAATCATTTTTGATACATTACTATGAATAAGTTAATTACACAAAGAACAGATTCATTATAACATATAATATGTTTATTTCATTTTTTTATTTCATTGTAAGCATTTGTTTATTTCTATTTTTTTTATTTCCTGATTTAATTTATGTGAATATTTATTATAATATGTATACATCTTCTTTATATATATTGGTACAAATATGAACTTGTAAAATAGATTAAAAAAAACACACATTTTTTTTTGTCCTGATGCATACAAAAATATTATACATATAAAATATGAAGAAGCAATGAAATATTTTTCTATCTCAGAATATTTTATAAATGTTTAATTTAATATTTTTCGCTTTGTATTTAAATATTTTTTCTATATCAAATATTAAATTTCATATAAATTATTATATTTTTAAAAGAGTTATACTCTGCATTGATAAATATAATTAGATTATATTATATATTCTACTTATTTTAGAAATTTTTTTTTAGCTAACCATAAACATCTGATCACATACTGTTATTATTTTTTAATATTTCCCTATCCACATATCATAATAATTTATTTTTTAATATTTTTTTATATTGTTACATCTATACTTCATGCATTTATTATGATCTACGTGCGTAGATACTTATCCTTTAAAATTATACCTAATCTCTAATTGTCTTCAAAAAAAAGTATTCAATATAAAAATTTCATATATATCATGTATAAATATTTGTCTTATATTATATGAGACATATATAATGAATATTATTATTTATTTTATAAAAGATTTAATGATAGTACATAGAACATATGTATATATTCCCATTATAAGGAAAATGTAAATTATAAAAAATACTTCTCAGAACATAACTATATATTAAGGAATATTATTTTTTTGAAGCCTTATAAAAATATTATTATGCTTTATATTCTCTATTAGTTAAATTTCCATAATAAATGTAATAGATTTTTACATTTATATTAAAAAATAAATAATATATATATACGTTTCGTAGAAATCATAAATTTAAAAAAAAATATAACATTCACGCACGCTTAAAAGTATATGAAATATATTTGTCCGAATTTAAGTATTAATGTTATATGCTACGTCAATATTCTTCCACTGAACAAAAAATATTTCCTCATTAAATTATATATTATGTTTATTCAAAAATATAATTATATTGAAAATTTTTATTATAAATCAGCGATATTTATAATGAATTCTAATGATTTACATGATAAAAGAAATATTGTTGATATATATATAAATAAATCACCATCACATGTAAATATAATATCATAAATATTAATATTATTTTATAAACAAAGTAATATGTATATATTTTAATAATTTGTATTCTTCCTATTAAAAATAGTAAATAATACAACAAATTTTATATATATATTTCAATATTCTCAATATCATGATATCTCAAAAGCAATAACGTATAATATGTTTTTTAATGTATATTGTATGAATCATAATAACATGTATAAAACTTTCATAATATACTAGTATATATCAACAATATGAATTGAAGAAAATAATACAAATTAAAAAAAAAATTGATACTTATAAAAAGGAATTAAATGAAATTAGAGAATACTTAAAATGATACATCGTATAATTATATACACAAATAGAAATAATTAATATAATGTGCATATATTATTCATAAAATCTTCTTCTACAAATAAAATTTTTATGACGTTTCGAATAATATATTGATTACTGCTCAGAAGTTTTTTTACCATATAAACATGTTATATAACATACACACTTTAAATATATGAAAAAACGTTAAATGAAGTTCATAAATATAATAAAATTAAATATTTAAAAATACAAATATCTTTTATATAACGAAAATATTGCATTCCTATACTACACATAATGAAAAATTATATCTATTTTTTCATATAATGAAAAAATTGCTAAATATAATAAATAACTCATAGAATAATTATAATTAAAACACAGAGAGATACATATAAATTTATATAATATTAAACATAAAAAAAAAAAGTGTTAAATTATTACCCTTATGCTAAACTTATACCTTAAAACATAAAATAATAAATCTGAAATTTAAACCGGAACCCTGAACGCTAAATTTATATAATTATAACCTTCCTTATTGTTATATAGCACTCTGTTATTTTTTTCTATTGTTTAAACTAGACTGTATAAATAATTATTCTGAATATTTGTTAATAATAGTACTCTGAGGAATAAGCTATTTTATATTTCTTATCTCGTGAATTTTTGTATGCCTTTTAAAATAAGTTCATTAATTCATTATGATTTTTATTCCTTTTTTTAACGAACTTCTTAATGCATTTACACCTAGATGTAGAAATGACCCATAAGGAGTGTACTGATAATAAACAAAAATTATTTTATGTCTATATATAAAATATTTAAATGATATATTTTTATTTTATATGCATTTTCTATAATATTTAAATCAAGATGTGTTTAATAAATTTAACTTATATATAACCTTAAAATGTACAAATACAATTGTTAACATTAAAAATGACAAAACAATTACTCCAGTGCTTGTGCCTGTCAATGTATTGGTTAATGCACTTTTATTTGCGTTCGTTATTTCACTTATTTTTGTGTTGATCACAGTACTTGGAAGTGTATGTTTTACTGTAACTTCCAGTATTGGGGGCATTCGACTTGAAATTGTCTCTTTCATCGTGCCTTTGAGCAATTCATTGATAGGCTCTTGTACATCGACTATAGTTGCAACTGTATCAGGACATATAAAATTGAACTCCTCTTCGGCATTTTTGATTAATATTTGAAAAGTTTTGTTAGTAATGAATTCATATTTTTTTAAAGCATAATATCATTTTTGAATTGTTCAGTCTTCGATTTACATAGAAAAGTAATATTCCTTAATACATCTATTAGAATATACAGTAAATCCAAAGCATAGAATACATCATATAAATTGCTTCTGATAACCATCATATTATTAACATCTTCAGTACATATATTTGGAATATATCTATTATCTGCTTTGGGTTTTTTTAGTCTAAAAATATTGTAACAATTTACATTTTTATCGCAATTTCCTCAATATATTCTGACTAGTTCTTTTAGCTTGTAATAGAAATATTTACATCTTGCATTGAAATTAAAGTGATGTGATTTACTTTTTACTTCTATATCATTTAAATAAAAACCAAGTGTTATACAAAAATTATTTTTAAATTTCATTCCATATCAATAAATTCCTATATTATTACGAAAATAATCACACACAGGCTAATAATTGTCACGTAAATATCTTCCCAAAAAACTCCTCATAAAAGAATTAAAGTAATTTCTACAATCCAGATATATACCAGTAAAATTATACTATGAACAAGTTTAAAAATATATAAGTTGAAATATTAATATATCCTTCTTTCTTGTTTTAATGTGATACATATATTTTTTTAAAATTATATAAAATAAAACGCAACTATAGAAGTATTAAACAGACATTATTTTTCGCACTTATTTTTGGATCCATATTGATTTATAGATATAAATAAATAAAAGTAAATGTTATTTTACTTTTTAAACAATATTACCAGTTAAAAATATTATAATATATAACAATGAAGCAATATATGTTAAAGGCTACCTATTATATGAATAAATTTGATTTATAAATATATATATTTTTAATATATTACACTTATAAATTACAAGTGGATAATGTATTGTTTTCTGGGAAATATGGATATCTTTTTATGTAAATATATTATGAAGCACACTTTTATAACGATAGAATAATATACACACATTAAGATATTGTGCACACTTTTATAATATTGTTAAATATATATAATTTTATAAAAAAGTGTTATACTCAAGTTTAGAGTTCAATTTTTGGGGGGTATATTTTAGGTTTGAAGATTTAGATTTACAGTTTCAGGGAGATTTTTTATTTTTATGATTTAGGTTTTAGGGTCAAAATTCTATTATATATGGAAATACTGATTAGTATATAATTATGTATGTATTATATGATTGTCAACATTATTAGATTTTAATTTTGCTATTAATTTTTATTTATTCATTTATCATGTTTTATGTTAATGTTAATTTTATATATTTTTTATAAAATATATTTTATTATATTTTGTTATTTATTTTATATATATAATTATTGTATTTATTATTATTTTTACATATATTATTGTTATATTATTTATTTAATTTGGATTTTTTTCATTATTTTTTATTTCTCAATTTTCATAATTAATAATTATGATGTTTTATATACTTTTTTATATTGATTATTTTGTACACATTTTATATATTGTGTAAATATATATTTATCTATTTAATGGAATTTGGTATCATAATCATATTTTTAAATATTTTTAATAAAAATTATTATGTTTAATCTGTTTTTCTATAAATTATATTATAT